TGTAATAATACCCATCAGCCTAAGTGTGGATGCCCAGAAGCCTGCACAATAACGGTGTAATGAAATGTTAGCTTTGCGAGATATTTTGGGGCGATATGTGTTGAAAAATGGGTTGAAATGTAAACCCATCATATTAATTAATTATGGATAGTTTAATTATGAGCTGTGCATCAGGTTTTTGTTGCACATTTTATGCCTAAGGATTAAATAGCAAGGATTTCTATTCTCAGTCAAATCTGACCTAACAAGTTAAAAAGTAGATATTTTAACAAAACAATCTTAACTAAAAAAACATACCTTTATGCTTAGGAGCAGTTGTACTCTAGTGTAAGAGAAGCAAATTTTTAGCAAGAAACTCAATTATTAATCAATGCTTTGCACAAATCTTGTGATTGGTGGGCCTTGTCAAGCTTTTCCAGTATACTGTCACTGGTCTTAAAATGCTGCAATGCTCTGGCTTCACAATTTTAACACAGCTTCTGCTGGTCTCATTACTTTCAAATTGCACACACTATACATTCCAAACACAGTTTGACAGATTTACAGTATATTTAATGCACTATTGCAGGGAAAAAAGATGCTGGTTTATATGCCATTTTGCTGCTCAGCTTGTTACTAATGTGACATACTACCACCACTTATCTGCTACCCATTATCAATGACAAGAGTGTCTCATGGGGTAAAACCCGAGCCTTGACAGCTATACGAGTCAATATATGTATTACTGAATACGAATGACCTCATGTACAGTGCAGTATATGTTCTCTGTTACACTGAGGTGAGTGCAAACATTATGGAATTTGAGCACATACCTAAAGTTGTAGATATCTAAAAACATCCAATAGATGCACGGAATACAAAGTGTTCAGTGATGTAGTATTACTGTATTTCTCTCTCCCTCTCATATACACACAAACACACACACACAGACAAAAACACAGTATGTACACATGATGATTAAAGGTAATAAAAATGAAGTTTTTACTGAGTGCCATTCATTGGTGGGACAGAATTTGACCATGAAGACTGGGTTGGCTGTGTGCTGACTCAACCAGATGGCAAAAGTAATGTAAACTAACAATGTTAGTAATGTAAAGTGCAAACTCACCCTTGATGTTGTAGGGGTTGTCAATGACAAAGTTTCCGTTCCAAACCACAGACAGATCCACTGGCAGGTCACTGATGTCACTACCCTCATAGGCATACTGAAATATAAAACAACAACATGAACAAGAATGGCATTCAGTCATGTTTTGTTAGCTAAAACAATATTTTTTGACACCAATAACATCTCTCCAAGACATTCTTAGTCTTTTAATAAAGTATTACATGTTTATACGAGTCAGAAATCTTCCAATACCATGAACAAACTCAGTTCAGCTACTCGCTGGGTGTAATGTCATACCCTGTGGTGCTAACGCAGTTGAAGGGCCATTAAAATGAATGATGAGAGACAGGCTATATTGTGATTTTAACACGAGGCACATCCGCCGCTGCCTGGAAGAGCACAGAGTTGATTAAGAGATTGGAACCCCCATCACTGTATGACTCATTCCATTCCCGTGATGAATGAAAAGCGTAATATATCTCCAACAATAATATTCTCATCTAATTTCATTTTTGCATCCTGAACTAATATGAGTTGAAATGTAATTGACTTGTCGTCAGTATAATCAGTTTTATGAAATTGCTTTAAACGAGACAACAAGCTTCAAAAGCGGCAATGTGATGGCGGTGTGTAAACTGAAGGAGTAACAGAGAAGGCGCTCCTGTGAGACCCCTCCCAACCTCCAAACAAATAAAATATCAACGATGATTATCACTGGCAAAGAAAATGCAGCTTTAGAAGTTATGCCGCCTCCCCACTCCCTCCCCCGTCACATAAACAAAGCAGCTAAATGCTGAGGTAAACACACAATGATCTGAAAACACTCATCCATCAAGAACCCCACACCCCCGAATCAGACACACTTTGCATTATTAACTACTCCATTCATTAGCAGCCTCTGATACAACATGAAACAGATGCTAGCTAGCAAGAGGTTGCCTGTTCTCTGCTCCGAGGCTATTGCTGCAGTGGCTGTTAACCTAATGCCTCAGTCAGTCAAAGGCTGCCCACTTACTCTCACTCCCATTGGTGTGGTCACTATCTTCAGTGGCCTTGGGGTGAATGATAGCAAGACTATTCTCCTCTAGTGGAGTGGTGATAAAATCCGATGTGAAAGGCCAGAGCCTAAGGCTATGGGTCCCTCACAGGTTGAATCTAGCTACAACTTTGCTACTATGTGATATCACCCATTTCAACCAGATACTGTGAGATTTATCTTGACATCTGTAATAATAGTGAATTTGAATATATTTGAGGGGGAAAGGACGGAGAAATGTGCACAGAGAAGATAAGAAAATGAGAGGACACAGCAATGTCACACTGTGTGAATGGCTGATTAATTCACTTTTGCAATTGGATGATTTACTGTACATCGCTTAAGGAGTAGATGCTGATATCCAAATAAAGGAGGGTATCCCATGTGTCTCAGGAGTACTACTACTTTGGTATTAGAGTTAATTTTGAGAGAAAAATTGTTTTTGGGCACATTTTGGCACTGATTTACTTAGAATACCTGAACTACTGAAGAGGAAACTTTCACCCCTAAAGCCCTTTTCTGACATGCACTGGAACCCTGAAATTATCTGGACATTACCCGGAGGAGCAGTATGTGAGAATGCAAATGTCCAAGTCAGATGCCCAGAACATAAAGTTGACTTCACCCTGCCAGCTTCCTAGTACAAAGCCCCCGTAATGTCCGAGTGAGCTGCAGTGATCCCATGTGAGAACACAACAGCTTATATTCCAGAATATTGATACTGAGCTAGTGGGTGTGTTGATGATGTTCTACCAGATGAATACAAACATCTGATGGTGAATCAAAACAGTCATTTACAATGAAGCTGCCACCGAAAATATTTAACTGGAGACATGATGTCAGGTTTGCTCGGCCGCTCTGCCTCCCTCACCTTTCCTACTGTCTCTTGCCCATTAACACTAATCACGTTCACCTGTTCCTCACTCCCTTATCACCAGCTGCACTTGATTAGGTTGCTCACTATATTACCCAGTTTCACTCCTCAGTCACTTGCCAGTTCGTTCTTCACCACCGACCAGCCCAGGAGTGACCCAGCCTACGCAGCTCGGCCCAGCTCTCCATCTCCTCGCCTCCTGCTGTTGGTCAAACACCCGGCTACTACTCATCGACAGGACTACGCACTATTTCCCTCTGTGTATTGTTACTCTCATCATCACTGTACATAATAAATCACTGCTTGCACCGAAGTCGGCTACCTGGGTCCGCCTCTTTCTCGTTCGCTCACTGACAGGTGCGAACGGCACATAACACATGATGAGATTCAGGAATTTCTGTCGTCAAGTGCCAGCACCAGAATTGTCAAATTTAAGGTAAGGCAAAAGACTTGTTTATGATGAAATTACAAACCGACAACATGACCGCATCATGTACCACCTCATGCATGCTCTATCCAGGTGCCTGCCCCCCCCTTTGTATAAACCAAACTGAGTATTTCCAGTAGGTGTTTTAGAAGTTATGCCGCCATGTATTTCCAGTAGGTGAGAACGTGTCTGATACAAACTCTCTCTTGCTGTGGACCTGACCCCGCAGACACTGTCCAGAGTTCATATGTGAAAATGGCACAAGTAATTCCACGTGGGAGCTGGCCTGCAGATCACTGAATGAGACAACTTCTACACAAAGTTTAAATGGGAAGATTTCCTTTCCATTTTGTAGACCAAACAATTAACTGAAAAACTACTCTGCAGATCAGCTGATACTGAACAAGACCAGCGCTTCAACTTCCTAACTATTAAAAGAGGGAGAAGTAGAGAGAAGAAACTGATCTCATACAAGTGTTATGAGGATAGTTTCTCCTTCAAGCACAGTGAACCTGGAATCTTAGGACAGACAAACATGGCATGCACTCTGTGCTAACGTTACTGCAGTGGAGTCATCCAGTACACAGTGAGGAAGGGTAAGGTTGGTGGTGGCAAGAAATGGACAACGTGAAAAGTGAAACAGTGCAGAAAAAAAGGACAAAAGTGACAAGTGATGATAAAAAGAAGGAAAATGTTTGGAGTGGCCGATGGATCAGAAACAGAGGCAGTAAGAGCTTCGACAAGAGCAGTGCAGAGATAAAAAAAAATGAAAAGAGGGATAGAAAAAGTGGGTAGAGAGTGGGTGATACACCAGCAGGGGCGAAGGGGAAATAGCAAGGGGGAGATGGACAGAGAGAGGTGATTGTGTGTTATTCTGTGGACACTATTCATTTACACATGGAATAAGAGGCCAGGGCTGGGCTGAGCTGGTGGGGGCTAAAGTGAAATTGGCATTTTCAATTTGTTTGCTGACATGTCTGCCTTGGTCTTTTCACACATTCCTCTGCCCCTCCTTCTCTCGCAATCCTCCTTACTACCCCTCCTTTTCCTCTCTCTCCCTCTCATTATTCCATCCCTCTGCCTCTTTGCAAACCTCCTCCTCTATCATCTCAGTCAGACTTTCTCTGACCTGCCTCCATCTCCCAGAATGCCACACAGTCAGACAAGGAAGTACAGAGGAAATTCCTTTGTACCATATTTCTAACATGTCTGGGGAAACACATGTGCACATTGTTCTATAAATATGCATTCTGCTCACAGGAAAGTTTCCAGAGATGGATGCCAGCAAATGCATCAAAGACAGATCACATAGTCCACACAGGAAAAAGGGAAAAAAAAAAGATAAATAATACTCATGCAAACACAGGAAGAAAAGGCACTCACAAAACATGTTTTGGAAGACAGCTCTACCAAAGTCCAAGCATATGAACTTCTTCAATCTTTCCCTCCCTCCCTATCTCCTTCTTCCCTAAGAGACCACCCAGTCTGCGTGGGAACAAGAGCACTACTTCTCTATGCAGAGATGCAGAGAATATATGAGTGTGTTTGAGTGTGTATATGCGTGCAAGACAATTAGATAAGAAAAGAAAGAGATGGGAGATGTTCAGGGACACTGCACTGAGAACTGTCTGAAAGAAAGAAAAGCAGCAAGAAGAAAATAAAGAGGGTATGTGTGTGGTGTGTGTGTGTGTGTGTGTGTGTGTGTGTGTTGGGGGGGGGGGACAAGATAAAACAGAGACTGGCCAGAGATGCAAGCGGGACAAAGATGGTGAAGGAGGGAGGCAATGAGAGAACGTGAGAAAAAGAAGAATCCATCTGAGGGCAACTGTTCAAGATGTCGCAACTGTTCTCTTGACAATGACAGTGACTGTTGTTCACACTACGCAACAGGTGGGTTTCTCACAGCCACACACTTGTTTCAGAAGTGTGAAAAAAACTATAACATGACCCGGTAGTTAAAAACTGGAAACAGTCAAAACCAAAAAGTGCAGCAGCAATAAAGCTCCACTGAACTATACACAAACACCAAACAGCAATCTAGTGATTGCTCATTAAGAGAAAGAGCTGCTAATTGTTTTAGCAGGTCAGAATCAAAACTTTGCCATCTGATATAAAATGCTGGACTGCAATAAGTAAACTAAGGCTGAAACTAATGATTACTTCCATTGTTGATTAGTTTCTTGATTCATTTATTAATCTTCACGTTGCTTGTTTTGTCCAACCAACCGTTCATAACTAAAGCTATTCCTCCATGATAATAAACTGAATAAGTATTCACATATCAGCAGGTAGAACAAGTGAATTTCTGGCCATTTTTAATTACTTTTAATGATTTAAACAACTAATTATCAACATAGTTTTATATCAATTCACCAATCAACTGATTGTTTCTGCTCCATTCTGTATCAAGCGTCCCTCCACTTTCACCCCTGCTTCTCCGCTGACCAGTCAATCAAAAACATGGCCTGGTCACATGAGAGGGGTTTAACTCCACTGACAGACAAATGAAACCTGCACCACACTCACACACAATGGGGGTGTGGTGCTGCTGACAGCTAAAACAACACTGCCTGCCCTCGTCTCTCGTTGTTGCCATCCAAAGAGGTGTCTGTGTTTGCACATCCAACGTCAAAGGGAGGCCTGTGCTGAGAGAGTGGACACCGGGATCTGGTATGTACATTCAATCAGCAACAACATGAATATTTAGTTAGGGAGAAAGGTGCATGTGCATGTATGTGTGTTTAATGAGCACCAGAGGGC